TCAGTTAACTTTTAACTTTACGCTTGAAGAATAGGTTTTTTAATTCTATTGCTTTATGCTTTTATATTCTGTTTATGTTTTGTGTGATCTGTTTGAGGATTAGGGATTATTTATTATTTTAGTTTATGTTGGTTACATGCATGACTATATCTGTTTAGGGTTGTGGGTTGTGGGTTGTGGTCCCAAAATGTATTGATGAAAGTCTTTTCTACTTTAAGAGTGAATGCTGAAAATGTCAGACAAATTCATAACTGTTCAAATGCACCATGGGGGCTATTTTGTCTTTCATCCACATGTTGTTTATGAGGGTGGTAGGGTGAATGAAATAATTAATTGTGACCTTGACAAAATGCCTATGTTTGAGTTAAGAGACCTTTATTATGACCTAGTTGGTGGAAAATGAGCAAACATAGATATGTACTATACATGGCCTGGTTATAGTTTAGATGTTGGGTTGAAAGCAATGTACATTGATGCTAATGTGATGAAAATGCTTGGGGCTTATAAGGGTTTGGATTATGTAGTAGTTTATGTAGAGAAAGGTGTAGATCCTATTATGGTTTTGTTATCCAACGGTGCAGAACATGGTGGTAATGCCATAGGGGGTGGTGACCCAAAACAGGGTGGTAATGCCATATGTGGTACAGATACAAACATTATTGATATAAACTTGTCTGATATTGACATCATAGTTGATGACATTGGGAATGACTTAGTTGATAGTGCAGAGGTAGCTGAGAGTGAAGATGTAGGTAAAGGATATGAGGATAGTGATACACAACATGAGGGTAATGTGCTTACATGAGATAAACTGCTTGAATGCCTGTGGGTGGAGGTCAAATTGCTTAAATTGGGATAATGCGTTAAAACTGTGAATTTTAAGCCCACTAGATAGTGGCAAAACCATCTTTTCCAAAAGCCCACTTGAGGGTGGCAAAATCTGCATTTTAGCCTACCTGCGAGTAGCAAACCATTTTCAAAACGAACATAAAATGTTTTATTTCCAATTTGGGCGATTTGGTCTATACTTGTTTGCTGCGCGCATAACATAGTAATTCTAGGCTAATAATTGGAATAAGAACATATAACGTTTTCAAAACCGGATATCACGGTTAGTAGAGGCCGGTTTTCGGACCGGGCGAAAGGGGGTGCTCATAGCTGACCTTCCCCGATCGTACCCAAGCTCCCGAGCCGAGATAACTCCGGTGATGACGGACATGTGGCCTTCGGCACCGAGTTCGGGTTTCCTAAATTTCCCCATTTTAAAAATATTTAGGTGGCGACTCTGTATCTGGCAAAGCAGTCCATGTTTGGCACTACTTTTTCAAAAATCTGTTTCTCAAAACGATTTGCCAGATTTGGACTCTTTGGTTTAGATTAAGAACCGTGACACAAGTCGAGTCCGAACTGTAGTAACCCCAAATGAACAGAACGGGACTCATCCTCCCGGGGCGTTCGGGGACGTCTACATTAGCGTATACTTATGCATTCATTTATTGTACACATGTTGTTATTTGTTTGTTGTATACTTAATTTGTTTGTTGCAGCAGAGATTGACTACTGGGCAATCATCTCAACCTGCATCAACTCCTACTTGTAATGCCCCAAAAATAATACAATAAACCTATTTATCATGCGGAAGAATATAACCGAAATATAATACTTTCATTCATCAGAGTTTACTGTTTAACAACCAGTTAAATGCCATGTAAGCTTACATCTTCCCAAGTCATTGCTTGGTTGCACAAAGTGAGTTTCGCTCATTACATTTTAAGCCCTTGGCTTTACAAATAACAAACATACACACAACAAGACATAATTATAAGCTCTTGCTTCCCGACAGTCCATCCCCGCTATGGCCTTGGAGGAAACATCTCACCTGCACCTGAAAATGGTATTCCCGTATAGGGTGAGCCAACAGCCGAGTAGAAATAATCTAACACAATATATGAGGTTTAGCAAAGGTATAAATACTACGTGCATAAACAATACCGATACTAAAACATTCACTAGGCCTGCATATTCATATGCCACTAAGACCAAACCTCATTTCCATTTTCCTTCAATTCATTTCAAGTTCATATATGCTACTTAATTCATTAATTAAATTCATTATCATTCAACAAACAAAATGAGACTACAACTCAATGGTTTCCAATTATGCAAAACACACATAAACACAGCACCCATGTATATTTTCTCAAATATGCCATTTTACGGATATTTCGTCCGTGGGAATCGGCACCCATGTATATTTTCTCAAATATGCCATTTTATGGATATTTCATCCACAGGAATCGGCACCCATGTATATTTTCTCAAATATGCCATTTTACGGATATTTCATCCGTGGGAATCGGCACCCGTATATATATATATATATATGATTTCGGGTCTTTCACCCAGGACACTCCGACTAACTTGCTTTCAGCGAAGTCCATCTCCTTTCTCCTCCCAAATACACATACATATACGATGTATTTATAAACATAGTCATATGCAATGACAACCAACATTTGATTAACATTAAATCGCGTAATCCTCATGCAATTTCTACAACAATCATAGCTATCCTCCACTGATAGCCCAATACATTTATCTCTAAACAGATATTCAATCTCAAGATAAATAGTTTATTCAAAACTTCCAAAGGTGTAAGATAATACATATCTAATTTCACTATCTATAACCATAACCTTCCAATTTCACATTTTGAATGTTAATTCCAATTATTTATACAAAATAATAATTTAATCAAAATTAGGGCAAAATCTCATTCTTTCCAAATATCAACCCAAACACCAAAATCAATTATTTTGGCACAACATGATCTTATATTCAAGTCTCATACTCATTTACCTCATATTCATCAAATACCCCTCTTTTCATTTCACACCCAAATCCTAGATTTGTTCAAACCACAACCAAATCTCATCATCTATACGCAATAGCAAATAACTAAGCTAAAAACTATATTAGAATGTAGAAAATCCCTACCTCAAGCTTAGAAGAGGAGATGAGCAAAACAAGGTTGAAAATCCAAAGATGTCGAAACCAACTTCTACTTGGATCAAAACGAAGCTCTTGGCAAGCTCTACACTTAATCTCAAAGGAGCAAGGCAAGGAGATGCTTCCAAGAGAGTAGATCTAAAGATCTTTGAGCAAAAAGTGTTTTGGAGAGGAAGAGAGTGACTCACGGCTTGGAGAAGGAGAAAGAGAAGAAAAGGTAAAGAAAAGGTTAAGTGATGGACCTATTTATAGTGCTAGGTCATAATGAAATAAAGTCTCAAAGTCAATCCAAAAAGATCAAGTCAAAATCCCTAAAAAGTAGGCCCAAAACCGAGCTAAAATTTAGGAAAAATGTCTGCAGGGGTTGACCCTTTCAGCACAGAAGTTGACCCTATGAAGAAACTTATGTTTGACAGCATGCAAGAGGGTCGACCCTTAGATAAGAGGGGGTCGACCCTATTTTCTAGCAACCAACACACATACATAAGAGGGTCGACCCTCTCCCAGTCTGGTGTCTACCCTATTTTCCAGCAACTTCCCAAAAACTTCACCAACAGGTAGGGTCGACCCTTAGGAAGGCTGGTGTTGACCCTAGAATAGAATTTCTAAGTTTCCAAGGAACTTTTGACAAGAACAAGTGCGAACAACCAAACCCAACAAGTTTAAAGATTATACTCCTCCAAAACCAACCCATAACAACACCAAAGATTTTCAAAATAAAATAAAGGATTCAAATACACTTCCCATAAGCTTTGAAGGACACAAGTGTTACAACCTACTCCTGCTCCTACTCCTACTCCTACTCGTACTCGTACTCCTACTCCATCAACAAACATCCCATCAAATGAGGTAAACAACTTTTAATGTTGACTTGTAACTTCAAGTAGGAAACTAACTGGAAATTTTTTTGCCTCACATGTCCAATAACATCCAAACTAGAAGAGGAGGCCAAGCAGCATCTCAGCCACCAATGAGTATTGCTTCTATTGGACTCAAAAGGAGGAATACTAGGTCATCTACTTAGGTAACTCACTTGTTTATATAACCAACTTTTTAATTTTGTAACTTTTCAGTTTATTAATTGAAAATGTTGTTGTAGCCCACAAAACTACCAACCCATGGTGGAAAGGCATCAAGTGGTCCTAGCAAAGGACCTGAAATCACAATTGGTGAGAGGGGTAGAGGTAGAGGACAAATTAATGCATCTGCATCTGGAGTCAATGTTGGAAGAACTAGAGTGAATGCTGGAGTGAATGCTAATGTCAGAGGGCATGTTGTTGCAGTAACTTATGTACTAGAGACAATCAAAGCAAGGAGACTGCACAAAGAACTGGCAACTGGGTCAAAGTAGACTATACTTATAGTTATGCTTTTTGTAATGAAACAATACTTATAGTTATGGTTTTTGTATTTAAGCTATGTTTTGTATTTAGAGTTATGGTTTTTGAGAATGGTTTTCAAATGCAGCATACTTCTATAAATAGATTGGTATTGAATAACATTGTCGGCATACTTCTGTAAATGGATTGGTATTTAATAGCATTGTGAATCTCAGCTTTTTTTTTTGGTATTGAATAACATTGTTTGTGTTGGAAATGTTGGTTGTATATTTTGCATTGGAATGCAGTAAAAGAAATTAAGCTCAGCAGGGTTGAATAGCATTGTCAGCATACTTTTGTTTGTTGATTTTTTTTCAATTAAACTCAGTAGGGTTGATTTTTTTCCAATCAAACTCAGCAGGGTTGATTTTTTTCCAATTAAGAACTTGTAATAATTTTTTTCCACTAAAACAAAATATGAATTTGTTGGAATAATTTCCAATGTTGCAATAAAAAAATTCATACAGAAATCATGTTGCAGGAAAAAAAATTTGAATTTATTTTCATGTTGCAATAAAAAAAACATACAAAAATCACAAGTTCCATAAACATAATTTCATTTCTTTCAAACATACATCAAGTACATAAAGCACTTTACAAATTCTTATAAATTTATTTCATACTGAACATTAACATGGTGGAAATGAAACACACAAGCAAAACCACTATCGATGTCTTCATCATCATGGTCAGTGCCTCCATCTTCATCTCCAGCTTCATCAGTCTTCCATTAAACTGCACATCTTCCTCAACTCTTGGCTTCTCATCATCAATCTCATCTTTTCCATAGATGGGAGCATATCCAATTGGGTTGCACCAAGCCCAAAAATCACAACCCCCCAAACCCACATTTTCACAAACATAGTACAACCTACCTTTTGAAAGCTTCTCAGACTCCACGATTCTAATGGCTGCTTTTCTCTCACAAGGACATTTCTTGCTCATGAACCTCAACATTTGTCCTTCTCCACCTCCAATGCTTGAAGACGACATTTTTTCTGGGTAGACTACCTGCAACTCGACATATAAAGCAACGAAGCAATATAAAAAGCAAGGTAAGCTTTTATGTTTAACCCTAGGGGCATTTTTGTCTTTTCATTGTGAGGGAACATCATCAATTCTTGCCCACTCGCACCACTCTCGCATGCACTACACAACCAGTTAAAAAACACGGAAAAGCTAACGGTGCACATTACTCCATCAACCACATAGGGTTTATGTGGTTATATTTGAAAGTGAGGGGGGTAATCCGCACATGGCCTAAACCATAAAGGGGAAAAGTGAAGTTTGCCCTTTTTGTTAATCCTATTAAGAGTGTTATGTTAGGGTTAGCACGATTATAAGTAGGTCAGGTTAGGGGTGGATAGCAGCCCGTTGGCCCATTTAGCCTGCCCGATCCAATCCCATTTCTCTAGGGCTTGGGAAAGTTGTTTTAGCCCTTAGGTCGAGCTGGACCAACATTTTCAGCTCGAAATATTAATGAGTTTGGCTTGGGATTTGTACTTTCAACCCAGCCCGTCAAGCCCAGCCCACTATTAAATTAATTAATTATTTATGTATAATGTATTAAAATATATATTTTTTGTTGGGATTTATACTTTATCTTTGTTGATTTTATTGAAACTCACATTTGTGATGATGTGTAATTGGATTTATTTAAAAAATCTTTCAATTTATAACAATGTCAATATATTTATTTAAGAAATATAATGTGTGATTGAATTTAATTATAAAATACTTTATTTTCTTTTTAACATATAGTCCGATGGGTGTGCTTAGGATTTATAATTATTTTTTGGATTGGGCTTGGATAGATATAGAGGTCCAATGTTAGGGTCGAGCCAAGTTTGGGCAGACACAAAATCCCTATTATAGTGTCAGCCCGGCCTGGCCCAACATTTGTCCACCCCTAGGTCAGGTCTGTGTGAAGATAATTAACATGTTGAATTAAATGGGCCATATTAGTGTTGGATTATTTCGAACACAAACCTGATATGATACGATACAAAAATGACACGACACGACACAACACAATACAATTTTCACCCCTAATAAAAATGGGTACAAATAATTTTAATTTTAATATTGCTATTTACTAATAAAGATCCCGTTCTTTGCACATGGTGTTGTTTATTATTAATTAACATATAAGCAATTTTCATTTCAATGTTAGTATTTCCTAAGAGCTCATTTGAATAGTGACTTATATATGTTAACTTTTTGATTTATCAGGAAAAAAATGCATAAAAATTAAGAAGTGATATAACTTAAATAAGTTAATAAGTAAATAAATTAACTTTTTTTTTTTCATTCTCAAAAGTGGCCTTGCCAGTAAAGATCCGTCCTTTGCAGGCCATGTTTTCTGGATTTTGAAATGCTATTGAAAATAAATATGAAGTTATTTAATTATAAAGTTATTTGTTTTTTAGAGTTTATGAAAATCTTCAATTTGGATATAAGTTTGTGAAAGAATAGAATAAAAATATGAGAAAAAAATAGCTTATATTTCATTTTAATTCTGATGATGTATCGATTCCCGGGTGGATGGGTCGGACCGGCCCAGGTTCTCCAGACTCCGGCTCAGGAAGGCTGGCTCCGTCAGATGACCTGCAAGCAAGTTCAGGGGGGGAACGGGGTAGTCCCCCAGTGAACCCTCCGGTGCAAGAATTAGAAGAGCAGAGTATGAAAAGACTGTATATCGAGAGATCAAGAGAGAGAGCAACCTAACCTCTTCTTTCTTCCTCTTATCCTTGCTTATATCCTTTGGTCATCATTTTTCCTGTCTCTTGTGACGTGCTTTTTGGTTTAAATTGGGTTTGAATTAAACACCCTTGGGCTTTGATTTCTCAAATTGAGCTTTGAACCATGTTATACTATGTGTTTATAAATGTTTTCCAGAAAATGGGCCCAAGACAAACTCATGTACTACTCCTTTCAATTCAACTGTACTACATCCCGGTGTGGTTTGGATTCCTTTCTCTTTCATCAATTTTCTCACTTCTATCACTTTCTCCCAATCGTCAACAGAAGAATAAATATTCAACAACAGAATATAATCCCCTGCTTCTTGTGCTTTGAGTTCAATCAAATGTTCGATAATGCGTTCTCCGAGGGTAACGTGACAGTGAATCCTACAAGCTCCAAGCAAAGTCCTCCACATTGTAGCATCTGGCTTAACAGCCATTGAAAGAATAAGATCATAGGCCTGGTTAAGCAAACCAGCACGACCCAAGAGGTCAACCATGCAACCATAATGATGGACATTGGGCATTATCCTAAATTCTTTACTCATAGAATTGAAAAACATCCAACCTTCATCAACAAGCCCAGAGTGACTACAAGCAGAAAGAACCCCTGTAAACGTTTGATCATCAGGCACAATACCCATTCTCTGCATCTCCCTAAATGCTTCAATAGCTTCTTTTCCATGTCCATTACTTGCTAAACCCGAAATCATTGCACTCCAAGAAACCACATCTTTATTAGGCATGCCCTTAAACACCTCGTAAGCCTTATCAACACATCCACATCGCGAATACATTGCTAAAAGAGAATTGCATAGATTGAGAGCATTTCCATATCCATGTTCTTGAATAAAACTATGAACCCACTCGCCAAATTCCAACGCACCTAAATTGGCACAAGCCTGAAGTACAAGCAGACAAGTAACATCATCAGGTTGAGAACCACACCGCGAGCTCTGCATCGTATCAAACACACCCAAAGCATCCCGGGTTCGACCATTATGAGTGTAGCAAGAAATCAAGACATTCCAAGCAACAGTATCTCTGTGAGACATTTCATCAAACACCTTACAAGCATCATCACACTTCTGACAAATTGAATACAAATCCATCAGAGTAGTCATCAAAAGACTATCATATTGGTGCCCATCACTCAAAATCTTAGCATGAACTTGCAAACCACCCAATAACGAATTCATTCTAATACAAGACTTGGTTACAAAGGAAGAAGATAATGGGTCAGGGCTTATACCATTTCGTCGCATTTCTCGGTAAAATTTGAAGCTTTCCTCAGGAGAATTACTCAATGAGTAAACTCTGATCATATTGTTGTAATGAGAGATATTGGGCTTCGGAATTTGAGAGAAAAATCGAAGGGAATAGCTCAGATTGCGGGACGGAGAGAGAGCGATGTGGGTCAAGAAGGCGAGAGAAATGATGGGGGACTGGAGGAGAGATGTTCGGAGGAGATGGGCATGGATTTGAACCAAATGGTTGTTTCTTGAACATGATTTTATGAGAGAAATCAATGGTTTTTCTCTGTGGGAAGTTGTGGAGAGGTGTTGGGTATGGTGAGAGTGTTGTTGCAGTGCTTCTTCGGAGGTGGGTTGGTGAAGGTGAAAGCGAGAAGATGATGATGAGAAGAAACGAGGACAGAGATGGATATGAAAATTGAAGTGGGAGAGAGGAGAAGAGTGTGAGCGAAGGAGATGTAAAATTGCTCTCATTGACTGACACTCTGTTTTTGCATCTCAGTTGAGTCTCGAATCTATAACTTGCAGTAATGATTCCAAACATTTTCCTATAGCCTTGGCTTCCAATTCCAACATCCAAATTTGGAACAAACAACACTTGACATACTTGCACTTCTTTTTCTCAAGCGAAATTACAAATGGTTTTGATTTATTTTGGAGAGCCTTCAATCTTTACCATAAAAAAAATTAACTCGATTTCACAATTGTAATATTTTTATTTTATTATATTTCTTTTCTAAAAAATAAATTGAAAAAAAAAATGATTGGTTTATTTCAAAAATATATAATATTGGATCAAACTAATTGTTTTCATGAATTATATAAATTGATGATTTTATAAAACAAATAATTTAAATCATCAAAATAAGATCTATGATGAACTCTACAAGCCCCTCAAGTTCTATCAAGTTGAGATATGAATGTTAGAGAAGTCCAACCCATTACAAATAAGTTTTAGAAATTTTTTTGAGGATAAATTAGACTGTTCTCATTAATGTTTAGAGAAAATATAAGTAGTATAATAAATTTGACATAATTATACTAACCACAATTTTAGTAACTAAAGAAATGAAAACTAATACAAATAGGATAAGGACATAATGATAAACAAAGTAAAAAGTACATTTTAGTGTAAAAGAGATAATCCTATTTTTTTTATCAATTTGACTAGTGAATTATGGATATGAATTATAACTTTAAAGAAACTTAATGTAATTATGTTAAATTTGTAAAATTATTATATATTTTTTTTATCTAAATCTTAAGAAAGGTTCATATAATTTACTCAAAAATAAATAAAATCGTTGACATTTTTTTTTATTTAAATTGCAAGACCTGATATTTAAAATTCATGAAATTTGAGTTTTTCAGGACCATTTTGTCCCCCCTCTCTTCCTTCTCTTTGTCAAGACCCTAATAAGATTTCCTCCAACAAATTCCTTACCACCACTCATCACCACGCTTCTTCCCACCATAATTTGTTGCCGCCGCCGCCACCATCCCTGCCAGTTCCTTCCCTTCCCTTCTCTCCTTACCTTGCAACCCCCTCTCTCGAAATCCTAATGATCACAATCACCCCAATCGGTCCCCTTGTGTACTCCTTGCATGTTTGATCTCTTTGTGGCCTGGTGTGAGTGAAAACATACACAAGTATATGGATGCATCTGTTAATTGGATTTAGTGCAAAGTGCAAACCACGTAGGGTTGATACACTGGTCACTTTTCTTAAGACGTACAATAGCATTTGTGTTTGATTTTTACATTGGTCAGGAGATAGATGTTTTGGTTTGGCTTTCGCTGGTGGTGTGGATGAATGGTGGGGTGAGAAATTTAAATTATCTTTTTCAAAATATTATAAAACTAAGTGATAGATATTGATAAGAAAGATTTCTTCTTGCAAACTAATCATAGATGTCACCAAAAACAAATATTGAAGCAACCACTGTATTTCACTAATCTTGAACTTGGCATATTAAACAGACCATAGGGCATAGGGAAAAAAGCAAAAGAAAAAACAAACACGATCTAACATATCATAAAAAACAAAAGCCACGAAAATTTGACAGCAACATTTGTCATCAAAGCAAACAGGTTCAGTGAGGCCCAATTCACTTTAAGAAAAAGCAATGACAATGTAAATTGGTGACAAGTTCCGAGACAATTTTTCCTTATCTCTAGATTTTTCTTCCATTAAAAAAGAAGAAAAAAGTTCAAATTTAGAACATTACATTAGAAGAAAAACAATCGGACCAAAGTGACTTCATCACTTCTTGTTCCTCATTATCCCTAGTCCCATAATCAGTGGTGGTGACTTCTGTACTTGGATGGTTGGTGCTGGAAGAAGAAGAAGAAAAAGAGTCCATCTCGATCAAATTCATCGTCCCCATGAGCTTCCTCTTCTTGTAGTTAGCCTTGAAACAAGCTTGCCTGAGCCTCTTTGTTCCATCCTCAAGTTGCATATCTGGATCCTCCTCCATCATCTTCATCTCTTGTTCCAATATCTCTATGGCTTCCCTCAAATTTCCCTATAGATGAATCAATAAGTGATAAAAATTCAATACAAAATATAGTTCATTCTAAAGAGAGCTTTATCAAAAGCTAACATAAAGGCTTCACCAAATGCGAGTCTTTCAGCAACGATCCATGAAGGATCTCCAACGCCTCCACAGAGGCCAATGCTAATAAAGTACTACTATTTGGACTTATTACACATGCCAAATCTCCGTAGTACACTCTGCCAATGCTGGTTCTCTCTATCCCCTAGAGAAAAACCCAATGAACTCTGAAGTTCTGTAACTAACCCAAGAGTCTCCAAATGAACTGATAACTTCTGTAACTGACTCTGAAGGGTCTTCAATTGGCTTCCAATTAGCTTCAACCAGGTAAACAAAATTTTTCACCCCCATCACCCACATGGATGATAAAACACCGTTGTACAAATATGCCTCCATTCCACCGAGCATCTAGAGTGAATCTGTACCTCCTACTTGGAATGTCTTCAACCGCCACACATCATCCTGCATGGCTCACACCTTTATCATCAAGAATGCTTATAATTTCCTTGTTGAGGTGACTTCACCCAAACTCTCTAGGTGCTTGTCGCAACTTCACTGCCACAAACCAGATTCAGGACAAAGAAAAAGATCTGCCTCTCACTGGGCGTGCAATGCAGCGTCTTATCCCTTTCAATTTCTATGTCTGGAGCTTTCTTTTGTGAACTAGTTGTTGCAGCCAGGCCAAAATCCGATACACTGCACCTTTGTATGACTCTGCTGCGTACTCTTGCACTATTGTACGCCTGCACCTTGTATGACATTCCTGCGTACTCATCTGTGCTATTGTGGCTACGTGCTCCTATGCCTTATGTGTGCACTACTGCAGCTGTTGCTGTTTGACATTCACATACTACCAGTACTTCTCGTATTATGTTTGACAGTAGCTCCAACTGCCACAACATTCCCCTGAGCCTGCACTAGTTGCCAATCATCTGTCTCCCGATGAAATGCTCTTCTTCCGATTGAACTAGATCTCTCGATTGCCTAAACTCAATAACTAAGAAAGTTTCCCAAGAAAGACTGGTGGGGTCACAACCAGTCCCACTTAAGAACCAGTCTCTTTAAACAGTGTCTTTTTGACAAAACTTTCCTAGGCATTGTTAATCTTGAGATAGTCATGTGCAATTCTCCTGATCGCCCTTGACCAATCCTGATCTCTCTCGATTCGCCATTTGATCAAGCCTGATATCTTTTGGTCTCCAATGATCTATCTCGATTTGTATATGGTTGTCCAATCTGGTCAGAATCTGCCAATTCTAACCTCTTCAGTGAATCCGCAGCGTTCCACAATATCCGACAACCTTCCTTCAACTATTGAGGATGACAAACTTCCATGTTTTTGACAATCTTTAAAAATCGTTCAGAATTCACTATTTTGACCTCGAGGTTGCATCCGGAACGATCCATTTAGCTAGGACCAACCTTCGTTACACTTCCGAGGACCTCACTGAAAAAACATCCCCGAAAGTTGGGCCACACCACAATTTTCTGAAAAATTCTGGGCCAACTTGCAATTTTCAGAAGTTCAGAAAATATTCTGTTCCAACAGAATATTCCATCCACTGTACCTGACGCCGTCTGCCACTTTGATCTTCTTTTTACAGAAAACTCCGATTCAAAAATATGACCGTACAGATGTGTCCTCAATATTCCAAATAGTTGGAAAGCACTATTGGATCGTCAGAAACGGACTCTGAATGGCTCACATCAGGACAAAACAGTTTGGACGCTTCAGATCTGTGGATGCACCTCAGCCGCGTAGCACTGGATCACTCCTTCTGCGCCTGTACCTTCGCCACGTAGCACTGGATCCCACCTCTTGCGGCTGCACCTTAGCCGCGTTGTATTGGATCACTTCTCATTGTGATGATGTGGCGATAACTGGTCTGCCACGTGGCGCCGACTGGACTGATGACGTGACAGACACGTGATAGTCCTTGGCTGACGTGGTGATGACTAGGCGCTGACGTGGCGCTGATTGGTCACCACGTGTCTCGTCTTCTTCCTTCGCCACGCGTCTGGCGCATACGCAAGACTGGGATGACGCGCCGTCTGAATCAACTACACGTGAGAGCGAGTCCAGCCTCCTTTGGATCTCTGCTTTGCATTTCTGGACTCCTCTCGTCGAGACCTTGCTTCTGGTATGCTCAAAAACTAATTTCGAGCAATGTGATTTTTGGGCAGTTTTGAAAAACAATCTGTTTTTATTTCGAAAATGGCCGACGAGGCTCTGATACCACTTGTAAGGGATCGGGAATCCCGCCCAAGACCTCCCAGAAATTATACCAAGCAGGAAAACACACCCACACCAAAGTAGACACCATATTTAACATGATTTGACAATAATGCTTACGTCCACGGGAGAGTAACCTTTTATCACTATAACAATGGAGAGATTACAGAAAGATTACAATAGAGGAAAAGCTCACACTATCCTCACTCACCCATTCACCCGTCTCCCTCGCTCACACCGACAGAGACGGTCTCTCTGCCTCACATCTCTTACTCTCTCTTTGGTTTGCTCTCTATATTTCAACTCTCCCCTCAACCTCTATTTATACACATTAAGAGGGATGTTCTGATTGGTCACCACCTACCCCCTTCCATTAGCTCCATCCACTAGCTAGTGGGGTAGGTGGAGTGGGAGAACCACCTTGGGTTGATATTCAACACATCCCTCACAACATAAGATTGAATGCCTTCATCCCTACCTCTTACCTCCTTCACTTGAATAGATGGTTCAAGATGCTTGAGTTCAACCCAAGGCTGGCAAGATATCATTCTACCAGCCTTTCTTTGTAGAACCAAAACAGCTAATCAACCCCAGAAACATTTGGAATGTGAGGGGAATGAAAATATCCCTTGTATTATTCTCAAGGTAACAGTCCTGTAACCCAATTTAGCCTCGAGTAAAGCCATAGTGATGCAAATCTTATGCATGCAATATGTTGTGTATCAACCATGTATATCACATCTGACTTATCAGGCAATGTTTACCAATAAATGGATATTACGACAAAAATAAAAATTAAAGGTATAAATAAAAATAAAAACATTTGCACTTGTGAACTCTATCGAACATCTTTAGATAGCTTTCTAGAGATGTG